ACTTCCCTTCTCTGCTGGCCTGATCTAGCCCCCAACAGCCCTGCCCTGTTGGCCTGATCTTGCTCCCAACAACCCTCCCCTGCCGGCCTGTTCGCCCCCAACTGCACCCCCTGCCAGCCTGATCACCCCACACAGCCTGCTGTTCAGTCGTTTTGTTGTCCCTCACTAACCACCCTGCTGGCCTGGTCACTCCACGCAGCCTGCTGTTTGGTCATCCGTCCAGTTGTTTTGGTCGTGATGGCCCCTGGCTTTTTATATATTAGAATATTAGTTAAGATATTAGATAAAGTTGGTGTATAAGACACATTCGGATTTTATTATTTATTTATTTATTTATTTATTTATTTATATTTTTATTAATTTCAGAGAGGAAGGGTGAGGGAGAGAGAGTTAGAAACATCAATGATGAGAAAGAGAGAGAGAGAGAGAGAGAGAGAGAGAGAGAGAGAGAGAGAGAGAGAGTCATTGATCAGCTGCCTCCTGCAATGGGGGATCTGGCCGCAACCCAGGATGTGCCCTGACTGGAAATTGAACTGTGACATCTTGGCTCATAGGTCGATGCTCAACCACTGAGCTATGCCCCCCGGTCCGGGTTTTATAATTACACTCACTCCAAATAAGCATTTATATTGACCATGAATGTAAAGTAGTTTTAGAAAAGAAATATATTTTTTAATTCAGATAATTGTAGTGTATCTCGAGTACTGGCATCTAGTAGTAAGTGATACATTTTGAGTATATGGTAATATTCTTTTAACCCCAGGGAAGTAGGGAGGAGAAGAGGGGAATATATTTCTTAGACACTTACCATGTTCCAAGTCTCTGTTCTAAGTGCTTTACATATATTATCTTATTTAGTCCTCTAACAATATAATATATAGGTATTATTATTTTTTAAAAATATATTTTATTGATTTTTTACAGTGAGGAAGGGAGAGGGATAGAGAGTTAGAAACATCGATGAGAGAGAAACATCGATCAGCTGCCTCCTGCACACTCCCTACTGGGGATGTGCCCGCAACCAAGGTACATGCCCTTGACCGAAATCGAACCTGGGACCCTTGAGTCTGCAGGCTGACGCTCTATCCACTGAGCCAAACCGGTTAGGCTAGGTATTATTTATTATGTCTATTTTATAGAGTAGGATACTGATGCATAGAGACATTAGTAAATGGTCAGCCAGAATATAAACACAGGTAATACAGTATAGATCCTCATAATTTTCACTGTCAAGGAATATATTATACTGCTTTGGTATGTAAAAAAATAAATGTATGTGAAAGATCTTTTTAAAAGAACATATAGGAGTCATTAAAACTGGTAACTAGCAAGTGAGCAAAGAGACCAATAAACAATACCAGTTTATTTAAAAGGCAAAGTGTATTACCTTTTAATATGTGTAGAATTATTAAAGCACATAGAATTAATGTAATTTTTATGAACATAGAGAAGTAGCTACATTATATAAAATGTAAATGCATAGAATTGATCAGTAACTATTGTTACAAAGGAAATAATAAAGTAATAATTTTGAAGAAATTAGAATATTATGCTTCTTTATACAGTTATGCAGTTAAAGTAGATATTCCCCTGAATATTAACAGGGAAGAGAAAAGAAACATAAATGTATGTAATAATTAGCTGGAATCTGATGCTATAGCAATGCTTCCTGGATTTTGAGCTGTGTTACCTATAATAATAAAAGCATATATGCTAATTAGACCAGACATCCTTCGGGATGACCTTCTGGATGAAGCCAGGGCTGCGAGGGAAGCCTGGGTCCCGGGTGCCAGAGGGAAGCTGGTGCCAGCAGCCGGGGGAAGGAAGGCCTACTGTTGCACGAATTTCGTGCATTGGGCCTCTAATAATAATAAAACTAGATTATATTGGTATTGGAATAATCCAAACACTCCCTCTGATTTGCTAATATTGTTAACTACCTGTGCAATGCACAGCTCATATTATTGTTGTCATGCTTTGCATTGCTGTGCAGTATGCCTCTTGTCTCCACTTCTCACAGCTGGGCCTTTCCGTTTTAACCAGCATATTAGATTCAGGGTAACATGAGGATGCTTTTCACAAAGTGATATAATGCATCCAATAGGTAATAGCAGTATGATTTATGTACGTCTACACTAATTTCAAAATTAAGTTCTGTGTATTATTTAGATTATAACGTAAAAATTAACTCAGCAAATATTTATTGATCTCATGGTCAGTTTGGGAAAAGCCCAAGAGTTAATAGGATTAAATACTTTGAAGTTTTTCTCAACTGACAGCCACCCTAGATTGCATTTGGTCTATGTCTGTGAGCTGGGGAAAGGTACCTAGATTTATTACTGGAAATACTAATATGACTATAGTATAATGACTCATAAACTGGAAAAACAGCACCACAGTAAGAGATAATAAAGCAGTTCATGTTATATACCTAGATTTTATTTTTATATTTATCTAACTACAGACTGTCTAAGAATATCCATTATAGGACACTAATTATATTACTAATATTGTATAAATGCATAGGGCATGTGAGCCATTGAGATGACCAAAGAATGGGTTCAGTGTTGACAAATATTATATTCTGATCTTTGCATTTTGAGTAGTAAGTCTGTTCCTTGATAGGGAATACACTAACAGAGACAGTGTAAAACAACTACAAAAATGCCATAAATATTTAGGGACAAAGTGTGCAATAACTATGGAGATAATGTGTGTAGGTGCATTCTATATCTTTTTGTTGCACATTTTATTCATTTTATTATTTTAATTTCCGTTTTGTGTCCAGCAATGGTGATATTTGTCTGTTCATTGTTTGATAGTAGTATGTGTCTCCTCGGATATTGATAATATGCTCAAGACTTCCGTTTTATTTTCTTTGATAACTACAGCACAGAATAACTTCTACTCAGACATGTTAGTGCATTGGCCAGAACCCTTTCATATGTAGCATGTGCAGCTTCCCATCAATATCAGTATCTCTGGAAAAGAATTCTGGATCCCTCATATGATTTTTGCTGCTCATTCAGAAGAGCAATGATAGATTCCAAATCTTTAGTATTTAGTCCTAACTATATGCAGTGAGTCTTAGAAAAATTTAGGGTTGCTTAAAGAACCCAGAAACATTTTTGAAGTCTAGTTTGAAAATGGAAAAGACATAGAATTACTAAGAATATTTAATTTAAATATGTGACAGCTTTACCTTAAGTACTTTTTCCCTATTTGAAAGCAAAATTTTAGATGATTTGCAACTTTATGAAGGTATTGTCATTCCGTCAGCCATCACGTTCCAGGTCCAGATTATTTTCTGTCTCTCTCTCCCTCTCGATACTGTATCCCCTCCCCACAATGTGCAAGTACAGTTTACACCAAATCCCGTCACTTTTCTGTGCACTGTTCCCTACTATTTTCTGCAACTTCAGTTTGATCCTTAACACTATGCTTCTTATTAATTGCTATCGCCTTCTGATTGATCTGGCTTCCAGAGTTTTCCTCCCTCCTCAGTCCATTCTGCAAGCTGGTACCTAAATAATCTTCAGAATGCTTCTGATTTTCCTAAGGCAAACTTTTTTTTTTTTTTTTTTTTTTTTTTGCCTGGCCAAGGGACCCTCCGCAGTCTTGCTCTTCATCTTCATTTCTGCCTTTTCATTTGGACCCAGTCTTTCCTCATTATGGATGTGCCTATAGCTCTGATCTGTGCTCTAGGACTACAGTGGTCAGCTTTCCCCTCTCCATGATCTTATTCTTACCTGGCTCTCAAGTCTTACTTCCTTTGGGAAAATAGCTCCCTGACTAGCCTAGCCTACAGTGGTCTTTTTTTCTCACATGGGCCTTAGAGCACCCTTCCTTCACTTCCCTACTTTTTTTTTTTTTTTTTTTTTTAACTGAATTACATTGTTTTTACTTTTGTGGCTTGTTAGTCATTTAAAATTTTTATTTAGTAAAACCTAAAACAACATTTTGTTCGCTGTCATTCTTTTTCCCTTCTTTTCTGAGCTTTGTCTGGCCCCATTCATTGCACAAATTTGGGGAGATCGTCTACTTTTTCCTTTAGGGCAGATCGCAGTTACATATGGGCTCAACTAGAAAGTGGCTCTGCCTAAACCATCTCCATATTTCTTGCCCGAAATATCCAGATGATGTTGGAGCCCTTATTTTGTTGGCATGTGAAGCTGCATTGCATTTATGATATTTAACTTCTTAGGCAGCATATCCATGTAGAATATGAGTTAGCTCTGACTTTGCTGCTTAGAGACTGCTTAAAACATGGGTACATCAGCCTCCTAGAAGATTAGTTTCTTTTTATGTGAAATGAAGTATTAATAACAGGTCGTGCATTTTGAAAATTAAAATCATCGAGTGTACTCTAATGAACTTTATAGTGTTTTATACTTGACCCAGTTTCAGGCACTTACGTATGTACTAACATCAACTCATGCAGGAAACTGATTGAACCCTCAAAACAAGTTTGTGAGGGGGGCTAATACATGTTAGAGAAGAGGAACCTGGTGAGAAATCACGTGCACAGTCACAGGTAGTGGAAGTGGTACTGGAAAGACACGTGGCAGTGTGGCTCCGGGACCAGCTGTAGCCAGGACCTCTCTGTAAGAGGCGCTGGTACTGTTAGCCACCACTGCTCTGTGCTTTCCCACTTTGCCCCCTCAGCCAAAAGCTTAGCGGATTCAGAGACATCCAAAGGCAAGCCAATGGCGACTTCAAATCTTGGAACTTTTTCCCATTTCCATTTTAATGTGAAAAATGAACGCAATGTCTAAACACAGTAACAAACCTGCCCTGGGATTAAAAGGACAAAATGCTGTATAAATTTAGGGGAGAATCACATTGCTAAAATGAATACATATTGAGCTTATTTTATTTAATATTAGAAGTTAGAGAAGTCAGCATTTCAGTAATGAAGGCAATGCAAGTGTGATTTACAAAATATATAGTATAAAGACAGCCTGGGGACTCATAAACTTTAATCCTTTTGTCTATTTTAGGACTTTCTGGGACAGGTGTTTTGTACATTGGGGGAGATTGTTGGTTCACAGGGAAGTCGCCTGGAAAAGCCAATAGTGTAAGTATTTTTAAATTCAGACAATGAAATGTTAACTCTCATTTTTATTTTTGCAGTTTGGAATTGATAAATACATGCTTGTGCACAAAATGTGGGTTTTAAAATCTTATTTATGAGTTTTACTTCAAAAAATAATTTTGACATGTTCATAAAGGATAAGTTATATTTCAGCTGTCATATGCCTTGCTACAAAATGTTCACAAAATGAAATGAGCACATTTAAACAAGGAGATATGTTGTTTTCCTTTTGGTGTACTATTGTCTTAGATTTCATACTTTTTCTTATTTAGAGAGTATTTTATTAGTTTCTGTTATCAAACACATGTAGATTAAAACCTTACATATTTAATACAATGGAAACATTGTTGAATGTTTCTAGACCGATATGGCTGTTAATTTCTGTACAATGCCAACCCAACTCAGTACAAATGGGAGAGTTTTTCTGAAGTTGACAGCACAGCTTCCAAAAATTCAAAAAAAATGTATTTTTATATATTTATATAAAAAGACCAATAGCAGTGTGGTATGCATCAATAGCAGCAAGATCTTTTCCAAGTTCTGCAGTCATGTGAACAAAATTATAGAGATATCTAGCACAAACCATTGAAAAAAAAGAAAAAAGATTAAAAGGTCCAGAAAACAGCAAAGTTCTGTTACTCCTGTGATACCTGGCACCATTTTTTTTTTTTTCATTAGCTTCTTTGTCATCATCTGGAAAGAAAACATTCTAGAATAACATCATCAAAACCAGCTCTGATAAAGCATGGTCACTACTATTGCACCATAAAGCAGGTAGAAGATATTTTACATTCACAGAGGTATGATGTAGTACTGCCCTCCATCTATAATGCTAGTGATACAATTTTAAAGGCATTGTTTGAGACTTGATTCTGTTTCCCCAGCAGAGGGCCTCAAGAGAGGAATGACAACTTTTTGAAAGACATTTTACTCCTGGGTGCAGGACTATATGTAGCACCACCTTTTATACCATATGTTTAATAAATGCATTTTTGGTGATTGAGGTGTTAACTTTTATTACAAAATTGGTTTGTAAAGGAGGAGATAGGTGTAAATGTTAGAGAAGGTGGTTTCTGTGGGTTACATCTTCCACCTTCACCTTCAATTACTGGAATCATGCTTCATTTTTTTATTAGTTGAATGGGATAATCCTATTTTCTCTAGTTCCAAAAACACGGAAAACAAACTCCTGACATTTTTTCCTTATTCTTTCCTTCCCCTGTCCTCCTTCTTCTCCTCTTGCTAATTTTAATTATTTGGATGCACCTAATTGTTTATAAAAGATCAAAAGATCTGGGAAGAATACTAAGGCATATGCAGAGCTAAATGCAATGTCTAAAGGTTTGGGGAATTTTGAATCTATATCTTCACCAGTCTTTTAAGAATCTTAACCTTACAAAATAAATGTGAAAACTCCACATATCTATTCACCTTTGACATCAAACACTATGGCCAAGGCATCATTTTTACATTCCCTGCATAAAATTCAATACTTAATGTGTTCAGTGCTCTGCAAGAACTTCTTAAGATAAGAGGTCTATGAATTCTAACTGCCTTTATTTAATTTGATTTTCTTAGAAAATTACTATAAAATGTTGGTTTGGAAACATTTGGCTATGAACTACCTTTTAAACATTCTTTTCAAGTGTAACTTGTTTTCACATATAATTATAGGATGTGGAAGCTTATTTAAATATATTTTGTTCACTTTAATAGATAAGTAGTACGTTATTTATAAAGCAACTATGCATAAATATTTTATTAAGTGCATATAATTATTTAATGAATATAATTATTATTGCATTTTTTAGTCTAGTGCTCAAGTCCATTGAGATTCCTGGAAAATCACAAAATCTATCTTTATTATTTTTTTTCAGGAAAAAACATCAATAATATAAACAGTGACAACTTAAAGATAGTTATAATTTTTATTTCTGAGCAACAGAGTAGATATTTTTATGGAACTTGCACTCATATTTTGAAATTAATTTTATTAGAGATTTTTATCTGATTTTTTCTCCATAAAAGGAAATCATAACTTTATTTCAGAAAGCTCTTAAATTACATAGCATTTTTTCCCCAGTGAAAAATCATTGTTATATTAGTCCTGAAACATGTTAAAAAGTTTAATTATATTGGTTGCAGTATATGGTAAACAGAATATAGAGTTCGTAAAAATAGGTTTAACTTTGGGAGTATGTGAACATTGAGTTAATAAAGATATTGTAATAGTCATAACCTACATGTCTTTTTCCACCCACATATTGTGCAAGCTGTGGTCCTTGTTCAGCTAATTCAACAATTCCGACTAGATAAGACTAAGGAAAACAAATTCATGCTACTTAGATACCTAGAGTAGTGATTGGCAGAATATGCAAATGTGGGGAGTATTTGCTGGCATTTGAGTTGCTAGCATTTTACATAACTGGAAGAGATGAGATGTCCTTTAGATTTTTCCTAGCTCCTGTTGAGGACGGTGTAGCATAAATGAGTAAAGCCTTAGAACCCTGTTCAGATAAAATGAAGGTATTGTAACTGCACACTTCATGTCATCTGAGGGTATTTTGTAATTTAGGAAAATGTTGATACTATATCTATCTTATTGAAAAAGTTCTAATTAATTCAGTTTTTTAAAACTATGCGCAACTAATCTTTTATTCAGCCGTTGACCTTATTGGGCAGTCTTCTCAGGCAAATAGACATTATGAAAGGATTTAAAGGTGGGCTTAATGTTTGAGCAGTGGGATATTTTAAAATTTTAGTAAGTATAGCTAGGCAAATATTGGCATTAAATGGGTGACAAAATGACAAAATCTAGGGCTTGCGAGTGGGAAAGAGATTGGCTACAAAAGAATGAAGCAAAGAACAAAACGATAAGAATGGTAGAATGGTGACCTGCTACCTGAGGAAATTACATTAACTGCTTGAGATAAAGAGAATGCGAGAGAAGGAATTCAAATGGAAGATTAACCAAAAATAGGATAGTGAAATTGAATGTCATTAGCCTCCTAATGGAAGGATATCTTGGATTTATTAATTAAAGCATAGAGGAATATAGTCACATGCTCTCATCTGAGCAATTACTCCGACTCAGTGGATTGGGGGGAAGGGGAGTATTTTGTAGTCATTCACCCTCTTGCTTGAGAAAATAATGGCTTTTATTAAAAAATTCTAGCTAAGAGAGAAGCATGTGTCTCGAGGAAGGGGAACATGGGGATTGAAGAACCAGGTCCTCTGAACTGAGCATGCTTGCTGTCTTGGGTTCTTGCGAGTTCGAGTGCTTTAAGAGAAGATGTAGCTTCTATTCAAATGGGGTTTGACCCCTTTCCTTCAATGTTACTGAAAAGCAATCAAAAGCATTCATACACTTTGTTTTAAAACGCATAGTTAGGGTGAGGAAGAGAGTGAAATGCTGTTTGCATGGAAATTTTCTCTTTCTGTAATGTCAGAGTAGCTCTTCAGAGCAGCTGGTCCACTCCACGGATGTGTGCAGATTCCACCCTCATCCCTGCTTCCCCTGCTCAGTGACATCCTTTCCCATGTGCTTGCTTTTTAAAATCAATCTAATGGGCAGATGGTGGGGAGAGATCGGCAGGGTGGACGATACGGAATATTTCAGTAGAAGAAAGAATAGCTTTGGAAGAAAGGAGGGAGCCAGTGAGAAAACTGGAAATAATATAAGGTCAGGGAAGTGTTTTCTTCTCTGATAGGCAACTTTAGGACAAACCCAGTTTCTAAAGCCTTCATGATTTACCATATAATATATGAAAATAGTGGAATAGATAAAAGCATGATAGAAATAATGAAGTTCATATTAAGGAAATGATATGTATTTTACATGTATCTCTTACATCTCTAGCTCATAGTCCCTTTTGCCACCCCCTGTTCCTCTCTTCCCCTGTGAACCTGTCCTGGCCAGGACTTAGCGATGTAAAGATAACATTGTAGGGTGGTCACTGAACATCCTACCAGTTTTTGTGGTCAGTTCCTCCTGGCTGGAGGTAGAAATAGATTTTGTACACTCTCCCGTTGCAGCCGTGACTTTTGTCAGTCTTGTTAAGAGTTAGGGGATTGTCCCCTGTGGATGAGTATAGGCTTCCGAATGCAGCACCAGACACCTCCTGAGGCAGATAATCCACCTGCAGTTCACAAAATGGACTCATCTTGTGTCCCGGATGTTATTTTTCTTAAATGGCATCATCAAAGTGACTTAGTGCTTATTTACTAATTTGTTTTAGATTAGAGATTTATTTTCCAATTAGTTTCCCCTTTGTATTCTAAACTATTCATAATATTCCCTTGTTTTTTTCCCTTTAAATGGCCCAGTTTAAATTATTTTCTGTTCAGGTATTCAGAATAATTTCTTCTAGCTTCCTAATTGCAATTGTGTTATATCTCTTCAGAAGTAGACTTCTTAAAATGATGATAACTAGAAAATTTGAAGATGCAAAGCAGGCGTAGTAGAGCTTTAAGTTATTTATTATTAATCAAGTCTTTGAGAACTAAGTTATGTTTATTACAAAGGAAAAATAGTTTCTTGTACATAGCCATATGCCCTATTAAATAATCCGCATTTGAATTTAAACTCATCTTTTTATTTTCTGTTTTTCAGTTATTGTTGTCATTTTAAAATATTTTTCTCATTTTTTATGACAATAAAAGTTATTTTTTAGCCCTTACCGGTTTGGCTCAGTGGATAGAGCATCGGCCTGAGGACTGAAGGGTCCCAAGTTCGAGTCCGGTCAAGGGCATGTACCTTGGTTGCAGGCACATCCCCAGTAGGAGGTGTGTAGGAGGCAGCTGATCAGTGTTTCTCTCTCATCGATGTTTCTAACTCTCTATCCCTCTCCCTTCCTCTCTGTAAAAAATAAATAAAATATATATTTTAAAAAAAGTTATTTTTTAATATCTTGTAGAAACTTAGGTGAACTACTTTGAAATTGATGTTTAGCTATTTTTAATTTACTTTTTAATAGCAACTC